CAAAAATTGCTCGTGGTTTTATTCCTCTTGAAGAAAAATCGTATTGTTCTGCTTTAATCCAATTTGGTCTGAATAATTCTTCTTTCTCATCATATTCTTTTTCATTTGAAACATTTGATAATGATTTCTTTTTTTCAATTTCATCATCAATAAATTCACTGTCTTCAGAACCACAAATTTTCTTAAATTGATTAGTGACAATAAAGTCATCATCATTAATAAGAGGTTGCATAATTGGCTCAACTTCATTTTCAAGTTTACTTTCTGAAGAAACACCAGCTTGTTTTAATTTTTTTAGAACGTATGTTGGTCTTCTACTTTTTTGTGACAATTTATCTACAGCAATTCTATTCCACTCTCTTCCTCCAACAGAAGCAGTTTCATTCCTTCCACTTTCGGAAACAGTTTCTGATTCACTTCCAGATATTTCTGTCATAGTGATTGGTCGGCTATTGTTTTTTGTAAAGAAAGGAGAAGATGGTTGAGAATTCAAACTTCGACGATCACGTCTACTCATAAACCCTTGTCTTTGTTGTTGTTTAATTTCACTTCCTGACATTTGAGAATCACTAGATCCAGAGTTATCATCTGATGAAGAAATAACAGGTTGATTTCTTGACATTAGTTTTATAATTCAGTTTTTTGAGATTTCTTTTTTTCTGTCAAAAGAATTTCTTTCCTTCATTTTTTTTATATTTTTTATAAAGAAATTATTAATAATTTTTTTTTTCTATAAAACTTTTTAATTTCTCTTTATTTCTTATCACTTCTAAAAATCCAATCTAAAAAACAATATGACAGATACTCAAATAGAACAACCAAAATCCACTGAACAAATACCTCCTCCTTCTTTGGAAAGTAATCAAACTCAACAACAACCACAACCAACTAAACCAGCTATTGGATCAGATGGAAAAGCTATTCTTCGATTTAAAGGAATAAATATTCCAGGAGGAAAGGCACTCCCAAAAGGATATAAAATGTCAAAAGATAAAACAGTCGAACACATTCTTTTATTTATAAACAAACAATTAAGAGATACAACTACTACTTATGTTTGTTTTTCTACTATATATAATATGGTTCAAATTAATTAATAATAAAATAGAGGTTATACTTTAACAACTGTTTATTAAATCCTGATGATACCATTGCTGATTTAATAAGAGAGTTTCAGGTTCAAAAACCAGAGATTGAACTAACCTTTTCACCTATTGATAATGTCTTTGGTTAATTTACATTGGTCTTTGTTTAAAAGACTCTATCGGTTTTATAGAGAATGTATTAAAAAATTATATAACTAACTTTATTGGTTTTACCACTTAATCCAAAAACGATCAATTAGCACTCAATATTAGCTGGGTCAATTTTAAATTGTTCAGCAAGTATATCAGCTATTTCATGGACAAAGTCTCCTTGAACATTAATACAATCAACACCAACTGTTTTATCGATATTAGCACCAACTGAAAATTTTTTTGAAACGAATTTAGAAACGTCTTGTTGTTTTAAACCAAATTGTAAAACCCCAACAATTTTTGTCACAGACTGTTTTTTATTTCGTTTGACATTCATAATTTTTATAACTTTCTTTTGTTCTTTTCCCTTTTTAACGTCTTTTTTAGTTGTTTCTTTTGACTCTGTTGGTTGTTGTTCATCTTTGCTTTCTCCTTTTTTTTCTTCATTAGATTGTTCTTCTGTTTTTGATTCTGTTGTTTGAGCTTTAGTACATTTAGCAGCATTTGGACCATATGGACATAAGTCTTTTGGTAAGTGACAGAGAGGACATAAGTCAATTTCAACTTTTGTGTAATACTTTTTTTCCTCTGACATTCTTTTTATATTAATTTACTTTACAAGTTCATCTTTTTTCCTATAGGGTTTTACTATTTTTTACTATATTTTTACTATTTACATATTCTTTTTATTCACCTTGCTAAAACTAATGACTAAAGTTATTAGTATTAAACTTTATCACTTTAATAAAGATAATCTCATTCATTAACAATTAACTTTAACACTTTCTGTTTCCTTCTCTTTTATGATCCTTATAAAAATATAATTCATTGTGTTATGTCAAACATAGAAAACATTTCATTATGTTCTCTAAAAGAAAGATGTATTATACAACTTAGTTATAGAATATAAAGCATTATATCCTTAAAAGTAAAGATAAAAAAAGAAGTGATTGTTTTTCATTTGAATATTAACAATTTTTGAAGTTTTAATAGAACGAAAAAAGTTATTATGTTTATCTATTCAAGAAAAAATAAAATTGATATTTAGTACTGTTGTGATTTAACAATTACTTTACTTTTTATAGTATAGAAAATTAAAGAATTTAAGACTTTGTTTTTCTATAACACTTACCAACTCTAGTTTAATATTTTATTATATTTTACATTATACTGTTTTATCAAGGTATCAATTAACAATAATCTTCTTTAATTTTTATATCATCAAAACGTAATTTAGTTGACCTGTAACATACCAAATAAATTATTTCTTAAAGAAAATACTTATAATTAACTCATAGTCATTATTTCTAAGAACGTAGTAAATAAGATAATGTATAACAATATGCATAAAACTAAAAACTAACATCTTTGGACCTACACTCTCTTTTCAAGTGAAAAGTATTTCTTTCAGTTAATTTGTTTAATATAATACTTTATGAAAGAAAGAGATTTTTTTGAAGATGATATTAATAAATATTATTAAATTTCTTATTGAAGAATAACAAAAAATAATTTATAAAACTAAATTTCTTATAAGAAAATAGTTAAACTTAAAAATCATAATATTCGAAGAGTCAAATGAAAAGATGTTTTACTTTTTTAGTCTTTATGATAATGATTATTCAATCTTTTTCTTTTCCACTGAATAATCCAATCATTAAGAAGGGACTAGGATTGATTGGAGTTAAAATATTTAATCCATCATCATTAGGTGGTGTTGGTGGGTTAATGGGAAAAAAAGGAGGAATGGCAAATTTTGGAATGGAACAACCAATGGCAAGAGTTGGAGCAGAAGGTTCTGTTCTTCCAAAAGAGGTAATTTTAAAAGCGATTGAAGAAACACAACGAATTTTTACATTAGCACTTGATATATGTTTTTATGGACCTTATGGTATTCCAGTTAAAACTCCAATTATAGCTCCAGTTGTTTCGTTATTTAATTTTCCACTTCCTGTAATGACTGTTTATAGACAAATAGAGCTTTTTAGAAAAAAATATACTGCGGAAGAATATATACAAATAGCTGGTATGGCAACTCAAGGATATATTGTTTCAAGGAATCTTAATTTAAGACATAGAGTTGATTTAGGAACATGGAAAGATACAAATCCTGGATTTTCATTTTAATGATATTGTAATTCATTTTTCTTTAATATCTTATTATTTTCTTTTATTTTCTTTAAATTAAAAGATACAAAACTAAATCATTTATTTCCAAACACCATCACACATTGTTTGGCATTTTAAACACATACCATTTTTGAAGTTTTGTGTAAAGGTTGTTGTGAACACTTTTCTTTGCATTAATTTAGTTCCACATTTCTTACAATATGTTGCCTCTCTTTCTGGGTCAATAACATTACCACAATAAATATATTTTAATCCAACTCTTTGTCCAATAGTATATGCTCTTCTTAATGTGCTAACAGGTGTTTTTGGTGTTGTATCCATCAAATAATCAGGATGGAATGCAGAAATATGCCATGGAATACATGGATCAACACTATAAATGAATTGTGCAATATTATTTAATTCTTCATCACTATCGTTTTGTCCAGGAATAATAAGTGTTGTGATTTCAATCCATATTCCAAGTTGATGACAACGTTTAATCGTTTCTAATACTGGCTGGAGATGACCACCTGTAATACTATGATAAAATTCTTCAGTAAATCCTTTCAAATCAATGTTCATTCCATCAATAATTCCTTTCATAGCCTCAACACACTCTTTACTTTCATAACCATTAGTAACAAAAACATTTTTCATTCCTTCTTGATGAGCAAGTTTACCACATTCTAATGCAAATTCAGTAAATACTGTTGGTTCATTGTATGTATAAGCTATTACAGGACAATTTTTTCTTTTTGCTTCTGAAATGACTTTTTGAGCACTCATAGAATATCCTAATCGTCCAATCTTTCCAATATAATCACCACCTGCTTCTTTTATTTGAAGAGCACATTGGCTAATGTCCCAATTTTGACAAAATTGACAAGTAAAGTTACACCCAACAGTAGCAATTGAGTATGTCATAGTCTGTGGAAGAAAATGAAACATTGGTTTTTTTTCTATTGGAGATGGTCCTGGTCCAATTACTTTACCATAAACAATCAATTCTAAATTTCCATTTGTATTCTTTCTCACTCCACATGTTCCTGTCTCTCCTTCTTTAATCACACAATACCTATTACATGCAACACATTGAATATTTCCATCTTGAAGTTTTCTAAACAGCATTTGGTGTTGTTGATCAACAGACATTTTTTATGACTTTTAAGATACTATTAGATCGTTTTGATCTTATTATTAAATGATGAGTGATGTATGAAAAATGTGAAAGGTTATAATTTTAAAATAAATGTTTTTACTGTGCCTAGTTCAATTGCATAAAGTAAAACACCTTCCAGAGAATAAAAACAATAATTTAAAAATTGGTTTGTGAGAAAGTTAAAGATTTAATTCATTTGTTTACTTTCATTTTGTTTAATTTTTTCTTTTCTAAAGAAGAAAAATCATCTTTTCAAATGTCAAATCTCTATAATAATAATATTCTTAAAAAGATTGTTTAAATATTTATTTTCGTTATTAATACCATTATTCATTTCTAATATTAGAAAAAAACTACGAAATAACAAAAATATTCTTATAATTAAAAAATAAAACAAAAAAAGACAACACATCAATAATAGATGACACGTAAGAAATAATCAATTTAAATGATTGTAACTTAAAAAGAATAAAAATAATTAATATTTTATAATGGCACAAATTGAAATTACTTCTCATTTTATGGTTCCTCCAAGAATTATTTATCAATGTTTAAATGATCCAGAACGATTAACTGCATTGATGCAATCACCAGTTCAATATAAAGCAGAAATTGGTTCTAAATTTGTTTTATTTGGAGGAGCAGTTTCAGGTGAAATTATAGACTTAAAGGTAAATGAAAAGATTGTATATAAATGGAGGTTTAATTCATGGCCAGAAGGAAAATACTCACATGTTGAAATTACACTTACAGAAGGTGAAGATGGAGATGATGAAACAGATTTAACATTAGTTCAAAGTGATATTGAACAAAAAGATATTATGAGAACAGAAAATGGATGGAAAATGATATATTTTGAAAGAATGAAGAAAATGTTTGGATATTAAGAAATAAAAAACATTAATTAATTTTAAATATAACATTTTAATAATTCTTTTTTAATTTAAATTAAAAAAAACTTAAAAAAAATTGGATATTAACAACAACCAGCTTGTTCTTGTGTAGAAGGAGTTGTTGGTTTTGTAACATTAACACGTTCAGTAGATTTAGTAGATGTTTGTTGTTTTTGATTTTCAATAACTTCTTTAATTAAACAAGTAAATGTTTCTTGAATATTTTCACCTTTAGCAGCAGATGTTTCAATAAAAGGAATTCCAATTTTATCAGCAAGACTTTGACCCATTTCAGTTGAAACAGTTCTATGTTGTTCTAAATCAGTTTTATTACCAACAAGAATTCTACCTATTACTTGTTCCCCAAATTCTTGTACATTTTTAACCCAATAATTAATAGCATCAAATGTAGATTTATTTGTTACATCATAGATTAAAACAGCACCTTGAACACCACGATAATAACTAGTAATAATAGTTCTAAATTTTTCTTGTCCAGCTAAATAAAAGTTAGTTTATATTTATTTACAAGATAAAATCTTATCTCATCTCATCTTCTTTTTCTACTTATAAAACCGAATTACTGTCTTGAAAATCATTTTTGTTTTTTATCTTTTAAAGTATTTAAAACAAACCAGTATCCCATATTTGAACTTTATATGTCGTTCCATCTACTTCATATCTTTTTGTTAAAAAATCAATTCCAACAGTTGATACGACTGAATTTGAAAATTGATTATTTGCAAACATTTGAATAAGTGATGTTTTTCCAACTGAAGAGTCTCCAACAACGATTAATTTTAAAGGAGTTAAACGGTTAGTATTTCTTACATGTTGTGCCATTTCGTTAAGAACAGAACTTAAAATTAATTTAATTTTTTTTTTCAAATAAAAAAAAACTAAAAATAAAAATCTTAAAAAAAAACTAAAAATAATAATAAAAAAAAAGAAAACTTTGAACTTCATCTGAATAAAACATTACAATTATGAACACTAATGATGTAGTTGCCCAACCAAAACCATTTAGAGCAGTTCCAGTTCAACCAAAACCAGTGTTTGTTTAAATTTAATATAAAAAACAAAAGAATAATAATTAACATTTATAGCAAAATAGATGTACCAATAACACAATCTGTAGAACAGTCAAGCGAATCAAATTCAATGTCAAGTTTCACAGATGAAGAAATAAAAAATTTGTTATTATTTAAAGAAAATTCAAATGGGTCTACTCCATCTGATGGAAGAGAATTATATACTCCACCAAATCGTTGTGAAAATCCAGATATTTCTGAATCAGTATTTGATCAATCCTCTTCAATAGCAATAAATAGTCCTATTCAAGAATTTACTGGTTGTGGATTAACTGATTTATCACCACCTCAATATTCACAACTTGCTCGTAGTTTTGCTGGATGGTAATTTTAAAACTGAATTGTGACTGTTTCATTTCATTTTGGTTATTTTTGTTTTGACAGTCAAAATTATTAAAGATCTTTAGTTTAGTAAAAAATAAAAAAGGTTAAATTGTTAATATTTATTCTTCATCTTGTCTTTATTGAATATTCAGAAGTATTTATTTCTTTGTTTTCATTTATGTTTTACTTCTACTTAGTATTTATTTTATATTATGTGAGAATTAGTTAATTCTTCTTCTATTATATTATCACAATTATTTGAATAAAACATTAAGTCTTTTATGTTTTTGGTTATTGTTATTTGTCAAGTATTGTTTGTGATGTCTAATTGTAATTTCAGTGATTTTAATCTTCTTACTGACTCTTTATGTATTAATTAATTTATTGATAATATTACAGGTATTATTTCTACATATATTAATTCTCTATTATTTCTTATTTTCTCTTGTAATTCTTTGTATTTATTTATTTTATGAATATAATTTAACTCTAAAATCATACCTTGACATATAGCAACATCTATAATATATCCTTTCTTTTCTGTAATATTTTGATAATATAATATCTGGTCTTCTAGCATTGAAAGAATTGTCATTAACCAATAAATCTTTATTGTAAATTATGATCATTTTATCATTATTAATACATTTATGATGATTATTAAAGTCAATAGCATCAAATTCATTAAAATGGGTAATTAATAAATGTTTAATATTTATTTACAAACATAATCATGTTTTGATATTTGATTCTTTTTTTGTGTTTTATTATGATAATACAATTTGTTTCTATTGAATTATTGATAAAATACACATGGCAATGAAAATGAATGAATTGATTGTTATGATGATAATGGTTAATGTATATCTGACCATACAGATAATACCTATTTGCATTCATTCCTTTATTATTTATATTTGTTTATTGATTGATATGAATTATTATTTCTTTTGTTATTTATTTTTTTAAATCTATTTTCTATGAAGTTACTTGTTTATGTGAAAATTTTTTCTTTATGTAAATTAATAAAATTTTAAAAAGAAATTTGTTTATTGTTGTTTTACTTTGAGCAATATAAAGCCTTTATTACTTTTGAATTTTCAATTATTTCGAGTTCACTATAATTTTGATGTTGTGGCATTGATACACATTGTTTTTCTAAAGAGACATTTGAAGGATTTATTACTTTGGCTTTAGTTAATAATTTACCATCACCCCCAATAGAAAATGTAACTTCAACCTCAACAAAACCTGCAACCATTGTTGGTAATGGTGATATTGAAAGACTTGTTAAGAAATTTGTGTCTTCATAAAGTTTTAATGATAACTCTTTTTGATAGTCAGTTGTTGTAACAAATACTCTTTTTGTTTCATATGGGATTGGTGTTCCAGCTTTAATAATTGGTTCAATAATTTTCTTGTTACTACCAACATCCATTAATTCAATTCCAATAGTTTTAGATGCAATTTCTCCTTCTAATATATTTGAAATATCTTCCCCAATTGATTGTGCACAAAGTGCACACCCCTTACATACCAATAAATCAAAATCAACATTTGTTTGATCTACTTTATCCTTCCCAAAGAAATCAACAAGCATTGCCTTAATTGCTGGGCATTTACATGAACCTCCTACCATTAGTACGTGGTCAATTGCACTTTTATTATACCTACTTTTTTGAAGAGCTTTTATCATTAAATCTTTACATCTATTAAAGATGTCTTGATTTAGTTCTAAGAATTTACTATATGTTAGTTCAAATGGTTCTTCTAAAGCTTCAATACCTATTTCTATTATACATTCAGCTTGAGCTACTTCTCTTTTATTAACATAGTTATTTGACAATTTAATTTTCAATTCTTCTGCATAATTCTTTATTTTACTTTTTTTAGTTTCAATTGCAGTAATTACTTCTTCTTCATCAACCCCTAACTCATCTGCTCTCTTTTTTATTTCTTCAATTAAATACTTTTGAATGTTAAAGTCAATATCATTTCCTCCAAGAAATGGATCTCCTATTGTTGTTTTTATTTGCATTACTCCTTCTACAAATTTAATAACAGAAATATCTAATGTTCCTCCTCCAAAGTCAAAAACATATAATACACCATCTTTCTTTTCATATGCCATTGCAGCAGCTGTAGGTTCATTTACCATTCTTATTGGTTCAATCCCTGCCATTTTTATGGCTTGTTCAGTTGCTTTTCTTTCTTCATCTCCAAATGCTGCTGGAACTCCTACAACTGCTTTGATTGTAACATTAGGATGTACTTTTAATATAATATCTTTTATTTTTAATAAAATTAAAGCTGAGACTTGTTCAGGAAGAAGACGAATTACTTGTTTTTTTACCCTTGTCTTTGTAGGTCTTTCAATTTCAACTCCAATTCTATCATCTCTTAATGGAATAATATTATTTAGTAAATGTTTTTGAAATTCTTTTGCTTTAATGTCCTGACTACTCATACGTTTACCTATAAGTCTTTTTACTTCAAAAATAGTGTTCTTTCCTGATTTATCATTAGTACCAACTAAACACTGTGAACCTGTAAATGCAACACATGAACGGATTGAGTCTCTTTCAAATTCAGATTTATAAATAAAAGGACGACCATTTATTATTTCACAAGCAGAACTAAATGTGGTACCCAAATCAATACCAACATAAACTACATCTTTTTCTATGCTCATTTGATTGAATATTCTAAGTTATGAATTTTGGGATTAAATGATGTTTATTTTTTTTTATTAAAAAAAATTTATTTTGAATGGTTATGAAAATAACAAAAATTTTTACCTATAATTTAATACAAAAATAGTTAATTAAACATTAATAGAAATGTCATTTATTCATTGATTAATAGATATTAATCATATCAAACATCATTAAAAAAAGAGTAATTTCTTTGTTTTATTTTTTATTTAGACTTTCTTCTTGTTTTTTGAATAAATCATTTTATTTTGATTTATTTCTTTTCTATTGTTGTCTTTTCAAACTTCCTTCCTTTTTCTTATTTCTTTTTTTTTGATTTTTATTTTAGTTTTAATGAACTTCTTTCTTTATTTTCTTATATTACGTTGAATGAATCTTTCATTATTCTTATATTATTATGTATAATTTCATTTAACATTAACAATATCATTTATATCATTTTATTTAATAATACATCATATTATCAAATTGTTTGTATTTTAACATGTAAATAATACCAACTTCTCTATAAATACGTACTTTTCTATTACAATAAATGATGTCTAATAATCATAAATAATAGTCATTACCATTATTGAAGTATTGAGTAAGACATTTTCTAACTAAAGACAATATTATAACTAGAAGATAATGGGTAATCTAATGATTTTATTTATTTTCATGTTTGTGTGGTGTTTCTGATAAGCAACCTTCAAATCAAAAGAAATAAGAGTAAACGAATCAATAAAATAAAAATAACAGAAAAATACTTAAACCCCAAAAAAATTTTGTTATAGTTAAATTTATTAGATAAAATTATAGTTTTAATTTAATATTATCAGTTAACACTTGAGACAATACACTGTTTGAAATGGTTAATTAATGTTAAATGAAATGATAAGTCTTATCTCTTAGACAAAAACTTTCATTAATAAAAAGTAAAAGAAATTAATAAAATTCTTTCACCGAAATAATTTGTTAAATATAAAAATTTTAATCTTTCTTTTCTGTTAGACACTGATAAAAAACCAAGAAAAGACAAAACGAAATCTTAAAAATTTAACTTGATGGGAAATCAACCAAGTGAATCGCTCTCATTTCAATGGCAATCACGACTAACAAGGAGTAGATCATCATTGATAACAAAACCTGGACAATTACCAAGATTTATTCTCATAAAAATTATACCCTACTTGAAAAATATTTCCAATGTATTACACTTTGGGGCAGTTTCAAAGAAATGTGCAACAGCAATCATTTTTACAACAATTAATCCATTTTTTAGTTCAGAAACATTAATTTCTGAATTGAAACTATTTAGTGGTATTAAAGTCATAAGAACAGATATATCAAATGCTCTTAATTTGTCACTTCCTCAAGATAAGTTATTAGAAATTAAAATGAGTTACCATGAAATAGAAGGAGAAATATCTTGGAAAAAAATAACTAATGGAATAGTTAGTTTAGAACTTCAACTTTTCAAAGAAATAGAAATTGATTTTAAGTCTTATAAAGAACTTCAAAAAGTTAAATTCATATTTTGGGATGACCTTAATGAAAAGTATTGTGAGAAATTTATAGAAAGTGTTATTTATTGTGAGAATTTAAAGGAATGTATTATTGAAGTTGATGAACATTTATTGAATATAATGAAATATGGAATTAATCAATTAATTAATAAAGGAGTTATTGTGGTATTAAAAATACATAATGCAAAACAAGTATTATTTGAAATTAAAAACAATCCTAATCTTCATTTGTGTGCTTATTCAAATGAATTACATAAAAGTATCATTGATGGGTCTACAATTCTACTACCAGATGATAAAAGATTAGAATTAAATGTCTCATTAGCAAGCTGTGAAAGTTCTTTACACAAAGTAATTGATGCTTATTATCCGACGTCAATATTTATTAGAGGTAATACTGCTATCCCAAATAACAGTAATAAAAGTTTTTCTAAAAGAACATTAGACAACTCTGCTTCTTCACCAATCATACAATCCTTAGATTTATCTTCTTTTTCTTGTCTTGAACAAGTTACACTTGAAGGAATTAAAATAGTAAACCAAAAACACTTTCTTTTACCAACATCTTTAACATACCTTTCATTGTGTGACTGTGAAGACGTTAAATCAATCATCATTCCATCATCATTAGTACAACTAAATTGTTCTAATTGTACTTCACTTTCTTCATTTCAAACTAGCACTGATCCTAAACTGAAAATTCTTCAAATTGACCATTGTAATTCCATTAAATTCATTCATTGTCCTAACTCTGTTAATCAAATAGAAATTAAATACTGTACATCGTTAAGTGATTTAGATTATAATAAAAATGTTGAATCAATTGAGATTCATAACTGTTATTTATTAAAACAGATTAAACCAGCACAACTAACTAAATTGGTTCTTTGTGGTTGTTCAATTTCAAACTTAACTGATTTACTTCATTGTTCATTAAAAGAATTAAAGATTAATACTTCAAATATTCCTAAAACATTAGTTATTCCAACAACACTAACAAAACTTGATCTTCAAAACTGTGATGGTTTATGTGAAATTGATAACTTAAACAAATGCAATTGTTTATCAACAAAAACAAAAGAGAAATACCTCAGGTTATCAAAAAGTTCATTAAAAAAAAGAAAGAGTGGGGTTAATTTCCTTTGAAGTTGTAATTATTTTACTACTAACCACATTTTATTTAAATAAGTTATTTTTTTGAATCTTCATCTTAGATTTTCAATAATTAGAAGTACAAATACATTATTGTTATTTATAACATAATATTCTTCTATTAATAATTTCCTTATAATATTATCTTTAAAATCCTTTAAATAATTACTTTCTTTGACTATTTAACTTCTACAAAATTTATGATTCAACTAGACTCTCTCAACTAATTTGTTTATTCAACTCATTCTTATAATTTGTTTATTCTCTGATAAATCAATTAATAATTTATATTTGAATAAAAATAATTAATAATATAGAAAATTAACTTTTTCATTATAGTCATTTAGTTTATTAAATTCAGTTATACTCTTTAATTTTTTATTGTGTTAAACAGGAAAATTATTTGTTTTTTCTATGAATTAAACTTTATTAAAATATTGAAACTTTATGTTATTAAAAAGATTTAAACTAAATCCAATCTCAAATAATGTCATAAAACCAATCCTAAGATTCTCTTTTTTATAACTTTATTTACATTTTTGTGTTACTTTTATTCTTTAAAACTTTTCTTTAATCATTTATTATATTCATTTGTCTAAGTCATAATAGTTTATATTAATTACTATCAACCTTGTTTATTAAACAAGGAAAATTTTTTCATTAATTCCATCAGATTTATGTTTTAAGAGGTAATTTATCTTTTTTAATAACAATTCATAATAAATATCTTTTTCTGGAAAGTTCTATTATTTATTTTAATTTTTAAATTATTGTGCTATGTCTCAGAAATATCAATAATAAGTATTTTTTTTTGTTATAAAACATAATCCAAGAAAGATAAACTTATCATTATTCTTCATCTAATTAGTTTTGACTAAAAAGAAAAATTCAAAAATCATTTTGAAAAAAATTTTCAAATAACAAAAAAAAAATAATAAAATTCTGAGAAGAAAAATAAAAATTGTTAAGAAAAAACAGAAACACCTGCTTGGCTGCATAAATCTTGTACCATTGATTCTAATGGAGCGATGTCATCTTTAGATAAGAAGTTAAATTCCCTACAGAAAAAGAAAAAGTGTTTGAAACTTTGTAAAGCAATATCATCCATTTTTACTTCCTTTAAATGCTCCATATGACTATAGAACATATGAGCATATACACGAAACATTCTTTTATATATTTTGGTTATTATATCAATAAACTTCTTTGGTGGCTTTTCTCCAAATTCTTTTGGAAATACTTTTTCATTATCAAATGTATTGGCGATCCAAGAAAATAATTCATCACAATATTTCTGAGCTGGTAAGCTAGTAGCTTTTTTATCAACAATCCATAAATACTCAATTGAGGGACCTGCATTCATAATTGGACAAGTTGTTTCATTACAAAAGTCACTGACAGAAGAATAAATTAATTGAACTGTTTCAAAGAAATCAAAACAATTGACAGACATCCATTCATATTCATTTTGTCCTTTGGGGACTTTGACTGCATTAATCAAATCTCCAGATTTAATTCCTGCTTCTACAAGTTGTTGAATATTATATCTCAAAGTTCCTTTTTCTGATTTTTTCTTTGGTCTCATTGTTTGACCCTTTTTTGCAAACATCTTCTATTGTTGTAAAGATTTGTTTTCAAGTTTTACTTTTTTATCCATCCTTTTTTTGATATTATTCTGTTTTTAGCACCTGTTCTTATCTATTTCATTTAACAGTATATTTAACATTTATTTCTACATAAAAGTTATGGTCCATATGTTGAAATAAAAGCATTTGTTGAAAGTTTGTTGATCACCTATAAAGTATAAGATTAAAAGTGATAAAAGCTAGAAAAGAAAAGCATGAATAATATTAATGAAAATAATTAATGTTGATATATTTTTACAATAAGAAAAATTAAAAGAATTTCTATTGTAAAAATAATCAAAAATTATGTTATAAATTATAATATATAAAACTATTTTATAAAATTATTTTAAAACCCTTAGAAATAGTAAAAAGAACCCTTTTAACTAATATAGTGCCAAAGGATGTCAAGCACTAAACAAGCCAAGAAAACCCAAGAAGGAGTTAATTCAAAACTTGCCCTTGTCACTAAGAGTGGTAAATATGTCCTTGGAACCAAAGCTACTCTTAAGACCATCCGTGATGGAAAGAGTAAACTCGTTATTATTTCTTCTAACTGCCCACCATTAGAAAGAGCTAAAATTGAATACTATGCTGTTCTTGCTAAAGTTCAAGTTGTTCACTATGCTGGTTCCAATGTTGATCTTGGAACTGCTTGTGGTAGATATTTCGCTGTCTCTGTCCTTTCAATTATTGATGGTGGAGATTCTGATATTCTTAAAGCCTCTGAATAAGTGACCTCTTGTTTACCGTATTTCTTCTTTTGTTTGATTTTGTTTTTATAATTTTTTAATAATTCTTTTTTATTAAAAAACAACAAAGAATGATAAAAACAATAAATTAGAAGTTGAAAGAGAATTCATTTTGATTAATGATAAGTTCTCCATTACTTTGAAGAACATTGTTGAGTAAGATATGATTAATTTTAATTAAATCAACGATTAAATCATCAAATGAAATGACTTGATTTGAAGTATAAATTCCAGTGATATTTTCAAGTCTGTTAATTCCTGATTTTCCTTCTGTTGTTTTAGTTTCTAATTCAACTCCATATTCTCGAAGAATATCTTCCATTAAATGAATAACTTCGATCTTTTTATTGTTTTGATATCTCCGTATTGCTGTTTTCTCACTCACTCCTCGTTGAATGTCAAATAAATACATTTCATTACATCGTTTTTTAAGGAATGAATAAACATCTATTTTATCTTCTTCATGTTCAATTGAATTAATTCTGAAGAATTGTTCAGTTACACAACTTCTTCTAGTTGGTTTTTTAATAGTTATACGACACCATCTACTTAAAAGACAAATACAAAGTGTTTGTTGAAGTGTGAAATTGTTTCGAGCTTCTCTTGATGCTCTTAAAACAGGAATTCTTTTTTCAATAGGTGTCTTACATACTCTATTTTCATCACCATTAATTTTAATTTCAGGTGGAAGAGTATAATTTCTAATCCCTTGTTCTTTTGCTTCTTCGATTTCGAACTTAAATGGATTAAACATTATTTGCTTTTTTCAAGTTGATGGTGTTGTTAAGTATTATTAATCTCCTAAATTTCTTTCTTCTACTCCTTTTTACTTTTATCTTTCTTACTCTTGATCTTTTCGTTTTTGTTCTTTCATTTTATTCTCTTTCTTCATTTCTTTCTTGTTTTATTACCCTTTTAATTACTTTCCTTTATTCTTGTTATATTTCGTTTTTCTTTTCGGTGATTATTCTTAACCACTTTTCTCTTTCAAGTGACATGTCTTCTTATCATTTATAACTTCTTTTTATGTTTCTTTTTCATTACTCTACTTTTCTTCTTCTTCATTTTCTTCTTATTCATTTTCTTCTTATTCATGTAATTATAACTTCTTATTTTGTGAGTGTTTTATGTCATTATTTATTGTTTATTCAATGTAATAATACTATCCCTCTACAGAACGTTTGTGATACTTTCAACTCTTAATATTCATATAATTATTGAATGATTTACTTGTGTTGTGTTAATAAATGAATGTGTTTTACTTTATTCATGCATAATGGTTGTTTGGGATGAATGATAGTTGATACATATTCAATTAGCTGTTGTTTTTGTTCATAAATACATTCAAAACAAAATGGATATGACAAGGTGTAATGGTAATTAGAAGAGTGAAAAGATATGATAATGTGTTATGGTGTTAAAGAAAGAAGGAGGTTTAGATAAATACCATTGTTTTTAAGTTTAAGAAGAAAAGGAAAAATAAAAAAGAAACAGAAAAAACAAATGGAAGGGAAGAGAAAGAAGAAGGTATTGGCAGGAGGAAAGCAAAGTGGAATACTAAAAGCAAAAGAAGAAAGAAAACCAAAGAAAAGTGGAGGAAAGAAACAAGGGACATTGATAGAGTCGTTTGCAAATGATCTTGAAGGATCAAAGTTTAGATATATCAATGAACTACTCTATACATCACGTGGTGACCAAGCAAAACACTTATTTGAAGAAAAGCCAGAATTATTTGAAGAATACCATCAAGGGTATGCCAAACAAGTTGAGCATTGGCCTGTCAATCCATTAGATGCAATTATTGAATATATTAAAAAGAATAAAGAACTTCAACATATTGTTGATATGGGATGTGGAGAAGCACGACTATCACTTGAATGCCAAGACAGAACAGTAGAATCATTTGATCTATACAAAGCAAATGAACGAGTCAAAGTAGCAAATATCACAAAAGTACCCATTCAAAAAGGATGGAGTGATGCAGTTGTATTTTGTTTATCATTAATGGGAACAGACTTCCATTTATTCTTAAAAGAAGGGTTTCGCATATTAAAGCCTAATGGACTAATGATCATTGCAGAACCAATTAGTCGACTAAAATCAATTAAAGGGTTTATCAATGGAATTGAACAACTTGGATTTGTCACGATCAAAGAAGATGAAAACAATGTTTTTGTGATGTTAGTTTTTCGTAAAAATGCAAACAATTATGTGTTAAACCAAAATCAAATGGAAAAACTAAAGAAGAAAGTACATCTTTCACCTTGTCTTTACAAGAAAAGATAATATTTTTGATTGACTATTTTATGGGTTAATTATTTTACATTTTAAACAATATCATATTTTCACAACTTAATTCAATTAAAATAGGAAAAATAACATTAGTGCAATAATTGAAACAATAGAAAATGCACCATCTTTACACCATGTATATTCTCCATCATCACATCTTCCACATTCTTCGTCATAATCATCAATACGACCAGAATCAGTGCACTGAGCATCTTTAAATTTAACAGTGACAATTTGTCCATCTTTAATTCCATGTCTTTTTGAATTATAGGAATCATCAGAATCGAAATAGCAGTTAGAAGTAATGTATTTTCTGATAATTGGAGCGTTTTCATTAAATGTATTTGGGCATGACTTTAAATCTTTAGTAGTATATGCAATATAAGTAGGTAAATTACCACTAAATGGAGTAACAATACCAGAAACGAATTCTGTTTTTTTCATTGTAAGACAAGAACTATCAGAATACTCGGTTTTAGTACATTGTCCTGATGCACTAGTGCTGTATTTTATATATTCATTACCTTTAGAATCATCAATATAACAGACAGAGGTATCAATAATTTTGTATTCAACTGGAAGTTGGTTAACACCCATCTTTTCTGTGATCATAATTTTTTCTGCAAAACAAGTAGCGATTAAGAGGATAAAGAACATTTTGATTTTTTAAGATGATTAATTTTATTATATATGGTTTTCAACTTCTATTTTCATCCGTTCTGTCATTTAGAATAAAATAGAAGAAATTAAACTCTTCTGTTCTGTGTTTTTTTTCCATTAAAGCGGATTGCATTTTATATTAGAGTTTAATAATTACAGAATAATTTATTCTTTTTGATTTTTTTTTTTTTTGAATAAAACCAATTATTATAAAACTTATTCTTTTGACACTTATTGTATCAAATTAATAGACAAATAATTTTATCTCTACAAAGGATTGATGATATTCCTTTTATTAACACATTAAAGTATAAACTCAGTTAATGAGATAAATAAAAGATGTTTTATTTTATAAGAACTAATTTAAAAAAAGAATAGATGTTTCAATGAATAATTTCAAGAAAATAGAGTCATTCTTTCTTAGTTTACTACTTTTTGTTTAATTAACTTCAAAAAGAAATAGAATTTCTTTTTTCATGAATAACCTAAAGCAATTATAAAGTTCAATCAAGTCATTAAAATACTTTTGATTCTTCATAGAAAAGTATTAGAACCAATAATAATTCCAAAGTATACTATTTTCAAAAATGGTCATTGTTAAAAAAGTAAATAGCTTCAATTGAAAGAATTTACAAAACCATTTAAAAGATATACTTAGAGAGTGATTTATGTGTTTTCTTTATTTTTTAAGATAGTATAATCCAATAATTTTTTTAACACTAATTAAAAGAAATTAAAAAATAAAGCAAGAAGAAACAGAAATGAAAAATTGTTTAAAGATTTAATAATTACATACATTGACTGTTCTTTAAAAATTAATCATAAAAAATAAATAAAGAAGAAAATTTATGAATGAAAACAGACTAACTTAAAAAGATCTATTTTTTAAAATGTTTGAAAGTCTTATTGCAGATTTTCTTACCAAAACTATTGGAAAATACATTGAAGACCTTGACGTAAATTCAGTAAGTGTATCACTTTGGAATGGAAATGTTCAGTTAAAGAATCTTCAAGTAAAAAAAGATGCATGTTCTGCATTTAATTTACCAGTTATTATTTCAAAAGGGATTTTAAAAACATTAGAAGTTGAAGTTCCTTGGAAAAGTATTAAAACAGATCCATTTAAAATTAAAATTAAAGGACTTCATATAATTTCACAACCACAAACAGTTTTTGTATTTGATGCAGAACAATATGATTTAAAAAAGAAAGAACATAGAAAAGAAATTATTGATAGATTTGAAATAATTCAACAAATTGCTGAAACAAAGGCAGGTGGA